CCTCCAAATTCGCCAGATCTCAATCCGATCAAGCATCTGTGCTGGACAAACAAGTCCGATCCATGGAGGCCACATCGCGCATCTTAAAGGATCTGCTGCTAATGTCTTGGTGCCAGATACCACAGCCCACCTTCAGAGGTCTTGTGGAGTGCATACATCGATGGGACAGAGCTGTTTTGGCGGCACAAGTGGGACCTACACAATATTACGCAGGTGGTTTTAATGTTATGGCTGATCGGTGTACAAAGACATTATAGACAATTCTGTGCTTCCGACTTTGTTGGAAACAGTTTGGGGAAGACCCACATTTGGGTGTGATGGTCATGTATCCTGAAACTTTTGGCCATATTGTAATAAATAATAATAAATAAAAATTGCAATAGTTGGCTAATTGGTGTGGTATAAGAGGAATGAAACACAACAGCGAATGCTATTACCGGAAAATCAACTTCAACACCACTGCATCATTGATTATTTTGCAACAACAACAAACTCTATTGTGTTTTATTCCTTACTTAATGAATATCTGCCAAAAAGAAGATACTGCCAGTGCAGTGATATCCAAGTAGACTAAGATCTGGCTGCAGGCTTTTCGTAATGTCAGAGCTACATACTGTCCTAAGAGAAAGGACACAGTGTGGAAAGTCCTATCTGCACTACAGGGACTCAAATTCCCAGTCCAAAGGCAAAAGTAATTAAGCAACATTATGCTTCTTATCAACACTGGTTTCAATCTTTGTGAGTGACAGCAGTAGCAGTAGCCTCCAGTAAGAGCACTTCTTTCTTAGGCCTTTAGGGGAAAGAAAAAAAAAAACTATTTTACACAAACCGGCCCAATTTTGTCTGTGTGTGAAGAGGGAAATTTTCTTGACAAAGGAGTCATGGCTTTGCCAATTTCACACAACTTTACACAGCACATTCAGCACCTGTGTGAAGGCCTCTACCATGAATCTTTCAAAAGCGACTGTCTAGCAAACTAACAAGATGTGGGCGTGAAATATTGGCGTCTCCGTGGCGCATATGTGTTCTATTGAGATGGAGCCAGAAAACGTCAAAACCGAGATTCACCACCCCGTGAGTATAAAGACACATGAGCAAGCTCTATGGAGACAAAAAGAAGAGCTATTCTGAGAAGCCGTGAGTTCATTACATAGATAAAATAACCAAAAGATTGATTTAAAAAATTATTATTTCTTATAATGAAAGAAATTGTTACAGCTTACGAAATCCTATTTTTTTGGTCGATTTAAACAATGTATTTATATAAAATGTATAATTTGGGTGACATGCAGTGAATGGGACATGAACAGAGGAAGTAATCGCCACAAAAACTGGCAGTTAGAATGTGAAAATGCTGAAGGGTATTATGAATAAATAATACCATGAACTAAATGGTTTCTTTAAATAAATAAATAAATAAATAAATAAATAAATAAATAAATAGTAAAAAACCACAGGTCCTTAGTGTAATGTCTGTCCACTCGGTGTGGCAGGAGTGGCAACACTCCTGGGCAGTCCTATCTACTTGAATATGAAGAGACCCATAAACCCATAACAAATCAACAAGGCTTGAAATCTCCAAATAGCGTTAAAATCTGACAAAACTGTAAAAGTGGCATTGTCTTGACATAAAAAGCTTTTCATAGTAATGTGTTGGGCTTCTGGTAGCCTACCACCTTTCTAAGACACTGTATGGTTTTTTTTTTTTTGTTTTTTTTTTTTGATTTATATATTAAACCATATCACTTTAAGAATGCAGGCCATTCATGACAGAGCGTCTGGAAGTTTTGAGAAAATTAAACTGTACAGTATTCACTTGGAATTACGACGGAATTGACCACCTCCACACACTTAATATGAAAATGGACTTGTCACTCTAAGGTCCACCTTCATTCACACAAAGGAATTACAGATGACTTTACAATTATATTTATTCATTTGGCAGATGCTTTCATCCAAAGCTTCTGCTTAATGAATAAAGTGAGGCAGAAAGTTAAAGCTTAATTTAATTGTTTAAATGTTTTGCTTAAAGCTGTCTAGCCACTGTTTTTTTTTTTAAAGTGTCAAAAAATCTGAAAGTAACCAAGTAGATTCATAGAGTTGAGTTCCTTTATGAACTGCTGAATCACCAAACAGGGAAAAAAAAAGATGAAACTGCATGTAAAAACCAGCAGGGATGCATCAATACCATTTTATCAGACCAAGTACATGTTTTTTGGTATTCACTGACACCGATAACAATACTGATACCACAATGAGTACTTAGTATTAATCAATCACAGGCGTCACAGAACATTTTATTTAGTTCTGTTTATGTTTTCCTGGTTTAAACAGCGACCACAAAGATCTCACATGTGTGTGCTCATGCACTTAGGCTACCAGGCTTGCTCTTCATAACATTAGCTAGCTGAAGTGCATTAGCTAGGTACATTAGTTAGCTGAGTTAGTGAGCGGTTTTTTTTTCCCCATTTCTGTTCAGCTTTAAATAAAATATGTTTTTCTTTTCATTGCATCGGAATCAACGTTGCACTGTTTTGACCAATAGTGGCTGATCGTCAAGAACCACATACTGGCTAAGTGTTGTTATTTTCACTCACCTAGCGTTGACTGTAAACATTTTTTCTCACCAAGCTAGCTTTTGCTGCAGCGTTTGTTGTAGTAGCTCCTCTTGATATTTTGAGTGCACAGTTTGCAGTCTGCTTTGCTTTTCATTAGCATGACAACATACACTAGGCTTAGGTCAGTATTGGTATCGTTGCATCCCTACTGTAAAGACACTTAGAAGTGAATATTAGCATGCAGTGGTGAGGAACATACCTGTCCATGTAGGTCACTGTTCAGCAGCATTAAAGCACATGTAAGGCAATGCACTCCATCTGCAAAAACAGATTTATTCATGAGAAATTATTCAGCCACTGCTTTATCGAGTGGTAGGAGAACGGTCCGGACAATTACCACACTCACAGCTTGGGGCACGTACTTCTAAATGTAATTTTCTCCTTTTTTCTTTTTTTTTTTTAAATGCTGCATTTTAAATGGTGATATGAAAAACTCTAAACATGCAGATCTCATCCATCTCTCCACTGGGCCAAAGTGTAACGCCAGTTCCATGGCAACAGTCTTAGCAACAAGGAGACCGTTTTAGCTTTTACCATCTACTGGTCACACAGGCTTGTTGTTACCAAGACGGTTGCTACGGGGGAGACATGACACTCAGGCATCAAACATAGACAAACGATACAGAAGGCAAAGACGCTGACATTAAAGGCTGATTTCATTAAATGTTCTACAGAGAAAAAAATACTTCTTTCCAAAACTGTTGTTCTTTTTTTTTTTACTTGTTTAAAGGGCAAACTGTTGGAAAGGTTATCTCTGTGTGACCTTCTCCTGAACCTCTGCTCGTCTTTCAACTGTCATTTATCAGCCTGAGCTGAGTGAGCCTGATAATGCCCAGTTAATGGCTAATACCCCAAGGGACAGTTAAGTTGATCTGCGGCTAATCTATAGGCTGAGTGGGAGGGACGGAAGCCGTTGTGTGTAAAGGAAAAGGCTGAGAAATTGAAAAACGCTCACTAAATCCATGCGGGATTCACAAGTGAAGATCAAATTTCAGAATCCCTAATTGGTCCTCACTAAGTAATATAAATAAAATGTAAATAAAGCAGCTGTTAATCTTAAGACTGGCTTCCAAGGCACAGATGAATCCTCTAGTCACTAATCATTAGTGTTATCACTAACGATGGCACAATTTAGACCAAGCAAAAAAAAGACCTTTTAATGGACAATGGAATGGATTTTTAACTGGTTTGGGAATTGTGTATCCATTAGACAAAACTGTACTTACAAAAATCATTTCAGACCACATTTTAGTAGGATTTTAAATAGTGTAGTACCTTGTGAGGCGAGGATGGTGGGGTTACATTGATAGTACCTATTAGAAAAGTGGATTAAAACCCGCTCTCGTTCCTGGGTTTCACCCATTAGTGCAAAAGCTTTGAGAAAGGATCTAAACAGAAAAAAAAACAACAGAATGATCACAATTTGTAATAATCACAATGTGCAATCCTGATGCAAAGCATTAACAACATTAACACTCTGATCCTTGCATTATTTGTGACTACCAATAGCACTGCTGAATTCTGATTGGTCAGAAGAATCTGCTGTTGTTTACCAAAGAAAAGCTTCCATAAGAAGATGTTTATATAACATTTGTGGAAGGAGTCTCCAGTGTCAGTGCTTTGTAATGATCAGTAAGTTTTCAGACACAGAATAGTCTTCATGACAGACGACTTTGCTCTCTTCGGTTTCTTGGTCACATGACAAGATGATTTTTTTTGCCTTATTAACTTCAAGAAAGAGGAAAGAAATAAGTAGAACTCAATGCCAATGGTGTGGACGGGGATGCCTCCACCGCCAACAAATCTAGTCCTTCTTGTTACTAATTTGTATGCCAGAAATAGCCTTAAAATATACTTGTACCATAAACATGAAGTAAGCTATTGAAGTAAAACTATTTCACACATTTGACCTTGCTATGACCTTGACCCTGTTTGGATTAATTCCAAAACCCGAAATGTTTATCTGCTGGCTACAATGATAATTCCATATAAATCCTACAAACATTCAACCACTCGTTCCTGAGATACCTCGCTACCGAGACTCTTGGATGGACACACAGAGGGATGGACAATCCGTAAAACATAATGCCTCCAGTATTTAATAATGACTGTTCATAGCTGCTATAATGCAAGTAATAACAGGGACTGACTTGTTTTTGAGAATGTTCCGCAACATTAACTGTAACTATAAACGTTAAAATGCATGTTGTTCATTGTTGTTGTTCTTTTGGCTGCTCCAGTTAGGAGTCGCCACAGCGGATCATTGGACCGCATGTTTGATTTGGCACAGGTTTTACACCGGATGCCCTTCCTGACACAACCCTCCCAGTTTATCCAGGCTTGGGACCAGCACTGAGAGTACACTCGCAGTGGGTGGGTTGGTTCCCTGCCCGGGAATCGAACCCGGGCCACGGTACTGAGAGCGCTTGATCCTTAGCCGCTAGACCACCAGGGACAAAATGTCATTCATTTATAAATTATAAAATTTTAATCATTGGCAAATTACCGTGGTGTAAAAAATAAAACAATTTAGAATGTGATTTTATAGGAAAATAATCGACCTTTGGATGTTAAAAGTAACTCTGTCTTGTGAAAAGCCACATCACGCCACCTACGTCATTAATTATTTTCCTATAACAGCATGCTCTCTAGTGTTTTATTCCTTACTGTGCTCTAGTTAAGTGGTTTTGGTCATTAACTGGAATAAATAAATAAACCCATACAGAACGAAAGCACAACAATATCACATGATTTCAATACGATTTCTGTTTTGTTTATATATATATATATTATATTTCTATTGTTTTTTTTTCAACAATAGAACTGTGCTGTTTAGTGGTGTATACCTGAGCGACTGGTCCAATGTCATCCCTGTGAATTCAAAGAAAGTGAGGTACTCTTCGGCAACCATCTTGCTGAAGTCATTGCTGTAGGCAGACAAACAAAAAGATTTATATCAGGATCAGGTGTAAACACACCATACCCACTCAGCAGTGGCTTTTTATTATTTCCACCACTCTAAAATGACATTTATAAGAAACAATCTGTAGTTTATTTGAAGGTTGATGCTGGCTGCATGAACACTGTATCGTGGACTTTGATTTACTGCTTATTAAAGACAACCAGAGAGAAATCAGGATATAAGGAGAGAAAAGGAGGAGGACTGGAGGGAGGAAAGAGAGTTTGCACGAGACATGACAACAAGCGAGAGTGAGAATGAGTGAGAGAGAGAGAGATTTATATAAACGCCTACACAGACTTCCACTGCACCAAATCAAACTCATGACATCAAGCACGGAGGGAAGGGACTGATGGCTATACAGGAGGGTGGCTTTGTCCTCCAGACCTCTACAGAGGCTGCGTGTGTGTGAGTGAGTGAGAGAGAGAGAGAGAGAGAGAGAGATGGAGATAGAGCAGCTGACTCACACCAGCAGGCGGATGGGGAAAAAAAAAGCATTTTAGACCAAGTGTGGGTTCATCATGTTACATGTGCATTTTGTTTACATTTGTAATCAGTGCTCAGATCCGTAATTTTATTCCTTTAAATCATAAGGTGGTGAATCCAATCCTGAGATAGGTAAGGGTTTAAAAATAATAATAAAAATACTAAAATAAAAAATAAACTTACCCACCCATGACTACTGAAAAGCTCACAAATTAAACAAATGTGTCTCCTTGGCAACAGAGAGCACAGAGCCGCTTGGCGTTGTCTCATAAACAAGACTGAAACGCTTTTTCTAAAGTGCAAGGCCACTCAGACATGAAGGAGAAGTCAGTACGAGGATGTAGTGTAGAAAGATCCTTCACTGACAGAGCTCAAAGACCTTTGTGATAAACAGGTTTGAGAGACTGAACACGCAGATAATTCACCATGAGGGTGTGTATGGAATGTAATGTAGTGAACAAACTACTATCACTTATACCACAGTGCTGTTCAATTCTCAAATCTGATTGGTCACATGGTGTTGGTTAATTTTTTATAACAGCAGATCGGACAATAGTGGCAGCTGCAAGGCAAATATCAGGTTTATATCAATGCACCCGTTCCAATATGTTATCATCATACAGTCGGTCAGAGGTAAAGCCGTTCCTTCAAGTTTTCCACCCCAGCAAAGGCAGATAAGCTTAACTACTTCACAAGCTTTAATACTTGTCTTATTAACTTCAACAGAGAAAGAAACAAGGGAGGCCGGTGAGGAATGACTGATTATAGCTGCTATACCATGTGATCTTAGAACTAATTCGTGGAATGAGTCTCCAGTTTCAGCCTTTTTTATAAAAGTCAGGTGAAGCTGTTCCGACACAAGAAAGAAAGAAAAAAAAAAGAGAGGATGACTCTACTAAGTGATAACAGGAACTAACTTGCCTTGTGTACATTCCACAATAATAAATGCAACTGTAAACGGATAAAAAAAAGGAAAATGAGTTGATTATTAAGAGTTAAAATTGTATTCACTGGCAAATTGCTGTGGTATAAATGAAATAAAACGCCTCAGGAAAATAACCACCCTGCAGTCATGGCCACATCGTGACTGACAGCACGCCACAACATGTTTTACTCCTTACTTCTTTGGTTTGTGTAAGACACACAAACCATGCGCAACATCAATAAAAATTAAAAATACCACTTTTTCTTTTCCACTACAGAAACTTTGGTATACTGATACCATAGATAGTTTTCTTTAAAAACTACTAAACAATAATTTTTTTTTTGAAGCACTTCACAGTTAAACTGTTTCACACAAAAATCATTTACACTATACATATAAATATAATAAAAACAATCCTAAAAAAATAAAAAATAAAAGAGTCACTTTATATGTTAACATTTCTGGTTTCAAAAATAAATTTCTTTTCTAAATCCAATTCCAGTCCATGCCTGATATCCGATTCTGATATTCGATTCATCATTTTTCGCTGGTATCGAGGTTCAGTGCCATCTCTAATAAAAACAGCTACTGGAGCATACAGAAAGCATAAAAAGGATACATTAACTGACTTAACGAACAGGACAGACATGGGAATAAAATGCCCTCGAGCAAGACTAATCTCAAAATAAAGGAAATTTTCAGGCTGAAGATGGATAACCGATATATAAGTGTCAGGTTCTTGTTTACACTGTATGGCTGTATTAATTCAGAAGTGAACACCGTATCATTTCCTCCTGAGCCGGGTGCTGAAGATCTGAGATAAGCAGCTGGTGCCTAAGCACAAGTTTATAAGCACAACAAAGCTCTTGCTTAGATTCAGCCGCTGTGATATCAGAGATCACGCCATCTTTAATTCAGGTTTTGTCCTTGGACATTTGTCATCGAATAAGCAACTCTGTCTTACTTTTTATTCTTGGAAACGAGGTTTTCTTACTGCAGGCTGGCAGAGGCAGTAAATCAGCATGCAGAGAAAATCTTTTGATGAATCCTACTGAAATATGGCTTTGGGAACAATATTAGAAAATGGGTAAAAACACTGAATCATTAATCAGTCTGCTTACTGAAACCTAAGGGGTTTTACATCACTCACATGTCTGTGGGAATTCTCCATCTCAGCCCCTCACTTGTGCCATAATAAATTTTGCCATTGACCTATCCCTACTAGGCCTAGTCAATCTATACACAAAGCTCTGCCATGTGGAATAACCTTCATAATTGAGCATTGTTTATCATAAAACAGTGACAAGGACACATAACTACCCAGCTGTATGTTATTCATGTATGTCTGGCGTATGATTAAATAAATACTACTCAATATTACTCTCCTTTGAATACTTGAGTAACTGGACTTCACTGCTATGCTTAAGAAGTATTTTGACATATTTATACTGCACCCAAGTATTACTGAAACTGAATACTTGTACTCTTACTTAATTACTCCTTACATTTTTATTTAGATCTTCAAAGTACTCGTTTAAAAATCTTGAAGGTTTCTTCTTCTCTCAACCAGCCAGTGATTGGATGCTATTACATCAATCCAATGAGCTCAGTTCAGCAGCCAATCAAATGCATCTGCATAAATAACTGTCAGGAATCGTGCCAATTTGTCATTTGAGGTAACAATGCTACATCATGTATCTGTGTGCATCTGAAGATAGATAATCCACCAGACTGCAGTGTGGAACTTGAGGATGAGTGCCCCGGGCCCTACCTCAGTAAAATGTTTCAATGGAGTTGGAGTAAATACTCCAGCAAATACTCATAAAATGAGGCGTCTCCCTCGCCTCCCTAGAAGGCATAAACTCCATCTAATCTGCTAATTTGCCAAGTTAGCCTGTTACTTTGCTAATGCCAAGTTAGACTAGCATCAACTCCAGTAGCTAACATAATCAGCTAAGCAGGATGTCAAATTCTAGCTAACAGTAAATGTTGGGTGTTTACAAGATATTTTACTTCTGATTAATTCATTAGCAAGCTATGTAGTGTTAGTCCTGCATACGACCAGCAAACTTACAGAATGATATTTAGAGGCAAAACGATGTAGTTGCTTTAAAATGAAAATAATCATCTAATAGTTTTAGATATGTAATTATGTTTAACATGAAAACATGATATTAAATAAATTTCATGAGTAAAAAAAAAATTACATTTTAGCTTTTAATATTTGATTACATTTAAAAGTAGCAACTTTTTTACTTTGACTTGAGTACATTTTTGGCTACATACTTCCACTTTTAATCGAGTAAGATTTTGACACATTATCTATACTTTCACTTGAGTATAAATTCTCAGTACTTTTCCAACTGTTGTTCACTAGCAAGTTTTTTCCCCCACTTCTGTTCACCAGGCAAGTGCAGTCTCCAGAGTTTTTATTGTTAAGCAACTTAATTACCTAAGCTAAAAGTGGCAGCAAATATAATGCATGACAAGCTAGTTAGCTTAAGTACATTAATACTAACTAAGGAAAACGAGGGACTACTTGAATTCCCAGAGAGGGGATGAATACGTGTAGCCACCGATTATGTTTCTGACGTAGCACACTGTGTCTGAGCCCTAAACAAAAAGTAATTAGTCAGTAGCTAACTTTTCAGAAATAATCTGTGGTTTCTCCTATTACATTCCAACTTAAAGACATTACTTGAATCTTACTGAATGAATATTCATTTTTGAATTATAAAGTTCTGTATGACTTTTTGTTATATATATATATATATATATATATATATATATATTTTGGGTTAAATTTCTAAATATGATATTTACATGTTCCTGAATATATGTGAGAAGGTTTAATGCTTAAAAGTATGAAAAATGTAAAGCTGAAAAGATGTCCACTTTGATCTTATTGAGGATCCAAACTTTATGGCTTAGTTTCTTAAAAAAAAAAAAAAAAATAGAAATGGTAGGTAGAACTTTATAATTCCAATCCTGGACTGTCTGAGCCCTGCATGTGTGTAGTGTAGGCAGAGGGATTCAGAAACTAGTGCATGCAGTAGAGCGTGCTAGTTTCTGCCTCAATGTGCTT